AACCTCCAGTGGCAGAAAGCCAGTGTTCTGCCTTCTTTGATTCAGCACCTCTGTCCTGCCTCAATATTAGCTAAGTCAGTTTCTTCAGGAACAGACGTCAGGCATCAGCAGGAACAGCCAGTCTCCCCCAGATGCAGCTGAGTGCTCTGCTTTTAGATGTGAACGATACTGGCATGTCTCAGGAAACAAACCTTAACCAAATGGGTCCCAGCCATGAATCAGACTCCACTAGACTGGCACCCAGAAAAGGAGAAGAGTATTACCATATTTCATCAGTTTTAAGGGAAACATTTTAATCTTTCAGACTAGAATGTGTCTGTCCATCAATGCATGTTATTATTTAGTTGGAAGTATTTTTTTCCTCAGTGATATGTACAATGATGTTGCCTCTCATCACTGATAGCGTCTGGGTGTCTATGAAGTATAATAATTACTAGTGCAATCCTAGAGGTCAGATCCTATTGGACTTTCAGCCCTCAATATTTTTTACCATTAATCTCTTCTTTTCCCACTAAACTATAAGTCCCGTGAGGGAAGGATCTTCATCTGTGGGGCCTTGGGCAAGCTACTGAACCTTTATGAGCCTGTTTTCTCCTCAAATAAGGATAACAGTACCTGCTTCACGGTATTATAATTAAGGGAAGGAATGCATGGAAAGTAAATAGCACAATGTCCTAAAAAATATATTTGCTCAACTAATGTTACAGAGTAAGGACCAATCCATACAACTCACTTCTTTCAGTGCCTAGACGCTGAAAGGGGCCCAAGAGGCCAGCCTGGGCAGTCTCTGTAGCCTACTATTGGCTCCAGCCTCTCTGATCTTTTATTTGGTTCCGTTAATTCAATAAATTAAATTCTGGGGCAGCAGATGCTCTGAAGCTTCTGTCAGTGCTGCATTTATACACAGTACACAGCCTACTTCACATCCTCCTGGAGCTCACAAGAGCTTGCTGGAAAATCAGCCATACGGCCTATGACAAATTACTTGACGTGGCAACGATGACTGAGCAGACGACTGCCTCCCTAATCTCTCTGCGGAGGTGCCAACACAGCCTGAGAGCCACTAGAGCTGAGGAGCCTGACGCACCGTTCTGCAAGGAGCAGAGAACAGGAGGAACTCACTGACATCCTGACTGGGACCCAGGTTCCAGCCACACTGGTAGCAGAGCCTGATATTCTGGGAAACCATCACCTGGTCCCTTTCTCACCATCTAACTTTTCCAGTCTCTTCAAAGAGAAATCTTTGTCCCCCCAAATTACGGGACAGTCTGTAGTCACCATCTGCAAAATGCTTGGCTTTATCCAATGGATCATAAAGAGTCCATGAGGCAGTACTTATGCTATTTAGATAATTTTCCCCTCTAGAAGGGAAACCTCACAGATGATTTCTATAGGGTTGCACTTTGTACCTTTCTTTGCAGAGCTGTGGGGTGGGAGTTACTGGAGCAGGCTACTATCAGGGGCCTCTGCCAGTCAAAACACACCAGGGCCTCTGGAGACTGGAGCTTCTCCAAATGCCAATCTCCTCAGTTCCTGAAGGAATGGAAGCCAGAAAGGACAGCTTCTGGATGGCTGCAGAAGGGGCCAGTTTGATAATAATCAGAGCCACTGGGCCCACCCTGTTCACATGCTCTTAGAGCATTAAATGGGACCCTTTATCATGACCTGTCTTATTATTAATAAAAGGGATTCTGGCTGCTGAAAACAGAAAAATAAAAATTGTGGCAAACCTGGGTTTGAGTTCTGGATTTGGCTCTTTTTCACTTGGGCAAATTATTTTCTCTTTTGATCCACACACAGTTTTCTTATGCACAGGGCTGTTGTTAAATAGCATAAAATAAACAAAAGCACCTGGCATCCAGGCTATAGCACACACCAAGTGGTCAACGGACAGCAGTTATTTCATTATAATTAATTCACCTCGCTGCACCTTTGTGTGAGGCCTGGTACTCTCTCCTAGATCTATTTCCAGTACCAAAGATGATGCTTGGTACAGGACTGACTTTAAAGCAAATTATTTCCATCTAACACCTCCGGCATAGGCACTGCACTAAATAAAACGTCATTTCATCTGCCACACAGCAGACACTCAATAAAAATGTGATAAATGAATGATTATCTTTTAAAAGTATTCTATTTTTTTTTAAAGATTTTATTTATTTATTTGAGAGAGAGAGAATGAGAGATAGAGAGCACGAGAGGGAAGAGGGTCAGAGGGAGAAGCAGACTCCCCACCGAGCAGGGAGCCCAATGTGGGACTCGATCCCCGGACTCCAGGATAATGACCTGAGCCAAAGGCAGTCGCTTAACCAACTGAGCCACCCAGGCGCCCAAAAGTATTCTATTTTTTAACAGATATAAAATCCACCATTTTAACAATTTTAAAGGGTACAGTTCAGTGGTATCTGTTATATTCTAATGAGTTCTAACCACTGACATCTGATTCCAGCACATTTTTATCACCCCAACAAGAAAACCCGTACCCTCTCCTTTCCTCAGCCCTTGGCGACCATTAATCTGTTTTCTGTCTCTATGGATTTGCCTATTCTGGACATTTCCTATACACGGAATCATAAAATACATGGCCTGACGTGTGTGGTTTCTATCACTTAGCATCATGTTTTCAAGGTTCATCCATGTTGTAGCGTGCATCAGTATTTCGTTCCTTTTTATGGCTGAATAATACTCCATTGTATGGCTATAACACATTTTGTCAACCCATTCTTCGGTTGATGGACATTTGGGTTGGTGCCACTTTTGGGGCTATTGTGAACAGTGTTGCTGTGAATGTTCCTGTACAAGTTTTTGTGTGAACATATGTTTTCAACTCTCCTGGGTATATATCTAGGAGTAGAATTGCCAGGTCATAAGGTAATTCTGCTTCACATTGGAGAAACTGCCAGACTGTTTTCCAGAGCAGCTGTACCATTTAACATTTCCACTAGCAACACATGAGGGATCCAATTTCTCCATATGTTCACCAACATCTATTTTCCAGTAAAAAAAATTAACACTATGTTCTGTTTAAAGTAGAAAAACAGGTAGCGAACCCACACACCCTACTTTTTTTTTTCTTTACCGTCTAATCCCATTGCTTGTTGGCTGTGTGAGCCCTGGCCAGATATTTATCATGTGCTAGGACTCTCTTCTGTAAAATGAGAGTGATAATATAATTTGTATAGATTGATATTTTACGTAAAAGCCTTAATACACACTAAGTACTCAATGTTTATTTCCTTTCTTTTCTTCATTTAGGAGTAACCAGGCAATTTGTAAGCTCCATAAACATACACTCCTGGGCTGGGGTGTCAAGGCAGAGGATCTTATAATAATGGACTTCGGAAGTGAAAACTTAAATAGAAGTGCAGGGCGTATTACTTGCCAACAATTCTTAAATGTTAGGCAAGTTTCAGGCTTTAGCTTTAACAGAGGTATTCACCTGAGTATTTGTCTTGACATAATGGGACGTATAGGGACCCACTGGCAGTCTTCAGCAAGCACACTCAATTAAAAAGACCAACAGTTGACCACCTGAGTTCTGCTTGCCAATCCTTCCCCTGTCCTCTGCCCAAACACACACTTCTGATGACGTCTAAGCCATAACCTGTGAAAGGCTCAGCGATAAACCTGGAATGACTTTACAGTCACCCTATATAGTAGCTGAATTGTGTCCTCCAAAGAAGACATGTTCCATGCCTGGTAGCTGTGAATGTGACCTTATTTGGAAATAGGGTCTTTACAGATGTAATCAAGTTAAGTGAGGCCATACTAGATGAGAGTGGGCCCTAAATCCAATGACTAGTGTCCTTATAAGGAGATACAGAGAGACACACAGGCACAGATGGACCGAGGGACAATGGCCATGTGAAGGAGGAGGCCGAGATCGCAGTGATGCAGCTACAAGCCAAGGAATGCCAAGGACTGCCAGCAATGGCCAGAAGCTCGGAAGAGCAAAGGATTCTTCCCTGGAGCCTTCAGAAGGAGCATGGCCCTGACAACACCTCGATTTTGAACTTCTAGCCTCCCAAACTATGACAGAATAAATTTCTGTTGTGTTAATGCTCCCGGGTTGTGATCATTTGTTATGGCAGCCCTAGGAAACTAATACAGCATATGACATTTCTGCTTGAAACTGATCCACTCGATCAGGTTGATATGTCAAGAGTAAATCTACTCTACCCTAATGACTAACAAAGACCTATGGACTCTATAGTATATTTTAGTAACCTCAAGTCTTTCCTTTTGTCTGTCTCACTTATAACAATCTACTTTCTACCATTTCTACCAAAATTGGGTGCTACATTGGTACTATGGCTCTCACAAAGTCTTATTACCACTGAGGGGATGTGTGTGTGTGGGGGGGTGGTGGTTGTGAGGAGGGATCAGGTGGGCCAGTGGTTAGAACAAGGTACGGGAGAGGTCATGGCCCCAGATCCATACCCCATCCATAGCGCACCCTGCCCTAGCCAGCATCTCACAGATGTGGTGGGTCAAAGAGGTGGCTGGTCAGAGCACACTCAGTATCAGGCCTGGAAAGACAACTCGAAGCATATGGTCTCTTCTCAGCTGCAACAGTGCTGCAACACCAAATGCCAAGGAAAACATTAAAGGGCTTGGAAATCAAACACTTAAAACAAGAGGACCTTAAGGCTAATACTGAACAGCCATACCAGTGTCTGTATTAAGTTGCAAAGGTCATCTTTTTTAGGTTGCCTAAGTGTCCTGTGACAGGCCTCATCTCTTCAGAGCACATGGCACAACTGTAATTAATTACTTGTTAAATGTCTGTCCTTCCTTCTAGAGGACAGGGGCTGAGTCTTCTTGGTCAGTGTTGTATCCCCAGGATCTGGTCAGGACCTGGCCTGCAGGAGGTGCTTAGTAAGTATGCCACATGAATGAATGAGTGAATGAATGAATGAAAGACAGGAAGGCTGGTCAGGTTGTTTCTCTGGCACAGCGTTCCTGTGTCTTGGGCAGTAACAGGCCCAGGGCATACTCACTGTCAAAGAGGATGATCCTGCCGTCACCACCACAGGGCTGGGTGTGATCCCCGAAGCAGACGCTGTTGCACTCGGTGCTGGCTGCCTCCCCGTACTTCCAGTAATCAGGATTGTTTCCACAGAAGCAAGCATAGCCCGACTCCATCCCAGCAAACTGTCACAGTAGAGAAACAGCACTTGGTAAGTGTCAGTCTAGGGTGTCATCTGGCCTGAAGGAGCTTGGCAGGCTTGGCCCCCAGCCTTACCCCCCGGGTCCCTCTTCCTGGGGTGTCTCCCTCGCTCCACTCCATCGGCGCTCATTACACACTATCAGTAACTACGTTTCCCCTTCGTCGAGCATCCCTTTTACTGCTTGCGTCTCTACTGTAGTTAAGTGAGTTTTAAGGCAGGTGTTGGGGGGAATCCACTAACTTGAAACATTAATAATAGTAGCTCAACATTTTATTGAATGTTTACTGTGTGCCGGGTGGTAGGTGCTTTACGGCTAGTCCTCATCACAACCCCATTACAGGCCCCGCTAAAACTTTTCATTTTATTTATTACCATACAGTAAAACTATTTATATGGTATATAGTTCTATACATTTCAACCCATGTATAGATCTGTGCAACCACCACTACAATCAGGATACAGCACAGGCACATTGCCCCAATAACCTTCCTGTCCTGAACCTACTGCTTTCTAGCTCACCCTCCCATAAACAAACCTTGGCAACTACCTATCAGTTTGCTGTTACTATAGTTATGTTTTTTCAAGAATATCACATGCTAAGACTGAATGTTTATGTTCCCCCAAAAGTCATATGTTGAAATCTTAACTCCCAGTGAGATGGTATGTGGACGTGGAGCCTTTGGTAGGTGATTAGGGCATGAGAGCAGAGCCCTCGTGAATGGGATTAGTGCTCTTATAGAAGAGAACCCAGAGAGCTCCCTAGGCCCTTCTGTCACATTGAGGACACAGCAAGACAGCGATCTATGAACCAAGAGACAAGCTCTCACCAAACACCAAATCTGCCAACAACTTGGATCTTACACTTCTAGCCTCCAGAACTATGAGAAATAAACGTTTATTGACCCAATCTGTGGTAATTTTGTTACTGCAGCCAGAATGGACTAAGACATCACATAAATGGAATCATATAGTATGTAACCTTTTGAGACTGGCTTTCCACTCAGTGCAATGTCTGAGATTCATCCAAAGTGGTGCATGGATCAATAGTTCACTCCTTTTTATGGCTGAGTAGTAAGACCATTGCAGAGATACACCACTGTTTGTTAATCCTTTGCGTAGTTTCCAGTTATTCAAGATTATGGATAGAGTTGATATAAACATTTGTGTATAGTTTTATGTAAGCATAAGCTTTCATTTCTCCAGAGTAAATTTCATTTCTCTCAAGAGTCGGGCTATGCTTGCTTCTTCGGTTATTCTAGGTTCTCTAGGATGCTGGGTTATATGGTAAGTTTATGGTTATAAGAAACCACTTCTAGAGTGACTGTACCATTTTACATTTGCAACAGTGTGTGAGTCCCGGTTGCTCTATATCCTTGTCAGCACATGTTATTGTCAGTATATTTTATTTTAGCCATTCTAAGAGGTGTGTAGTGGTATCTCATTGTGAGTTTCATTTGCATTACCCCAGTGGTTAATGACACTGAATGTCTTTTCATGTGTTTATTCGCCATCTGTATATCCTCTTTGGCGAAGTATCAAGTCATTTGCCCATTTAAAAAAAATTTTTTTAACTATTGAGTTTTTAGAGTTTTTGTATACATTCTGCATATAAGTCCTTTGCTGCATATGTGATTAGCAAATATTTTCTTCCAGGCAATGGCTTGTCTTTTCATCCTTTAAAAAATGTCTTTTACAGAGTAAAAGTTTTAAATTTTGGAGAAGTTCATTTATCAATTTTTTCTTTTATGGATCATGCTTTTGGTGTTACACCTAAGAATTTTCTGCCTAAACCCAGGTAAACCCCAGTCATGAAGATTTTCTCCCTTCTTTTCCTCTAAGAGTTCTATAGTTTTACATTTTAGTTAGACCTAAGATCCTTTTTGGGTTGAGCATGTAGTCTTTTGTATTTGACTTCTTTCAATTAGCATAATGTTTTGGCGATTCATCCATGTTGTTGTGTGCATCAGTATGTCTTACTATATCTTCTTTCTGTTGCTGAGTAGTATTCAAAAGTATGGATACAGCACAATGTATTTATCTGTTCATCAGTTAATGGACACTGAGTTATTTACAGGTTGGGACTAATCTGAATAATGCTGCTATGAACACTTAGGTACAAGTTTTTGTGTGAACATACGTTTTTAACTCTCTTAGGTGTATACATAGGAGTGGAATTGCTGGTTTATACGGTTATGTTTAACTTTTTGAGAAACTGCCAAAATGTTTTCCATAGCAGCTGCACCATTTTATATTTCCACCAGCAAAGTAGGAGGGTTCCATCTCCACATTTTCACTGATACTTGTTTTGCCTTTAAAAAAATCATTTTAGGGGTGCCTGGGTGGCTCAGTTGGTTAAGTGTCTGCCTTTGGCTCAGGTCATGATCCCAGGGTCCTGGTATCAAGCCCCACGTCGGGCTACCTGCTCAGCAGGAAGTCTGCTTCTCCCTCGCCTTCTGCCCTTCCCCCTGCTTGTGCTCACTCTCTCTCTGTCAAATAAATAAATAGAATCTTCAAAAAAAATTTTTTTAAACTATAGCCATTGGTTATTTATTGTGTGAGGTGATATCTCATTATGGTTTTGATTTGCAGTTCCCTAAAGACTAATAATATGAGCATATTTCCATGTGCTTATTGGCCATTTGTATGTCTTCTATAGAAAAATGTCTATTCAACTCACTTGCCCATTTTTCAATTGAGTCATCCTTTTATTGTCAAGTGGTAAGAGATCTTTATATATTCTGGACATTAAATCATTTTACAGATGATTCACAAATATTTTCTCCTATTCTGAGAGTTGTTTTTTCATCTTCTTAATAGTGTCCCTAACACTCAAAAGTTGCAAATTTTGCTGAAGTCCAATTTATTTTTTCTTTGGTTGTCTGTGCTTTTGTTATCATAACTAAAAAACCATTGCCTAATACCAAGGTCATGCGTAGTTATACCTATGTTTCCTTCTAAGAGTTCCTTCTAATAGCTAAAACTAATTACATTTAGGTCTTGGGTTCATTTTTAATTAATTTTTATATATAAAGTGAGGTAGGAGTCCAAATTCATTCTTTTCCATGTGGATATCCAATTGTTCCAACACCATTTGTTGAAAGACTATTCTTTCCCCATTGAATGATTTTGGCACCCTTGTCAAAATCAACTGACCATAAATAAATGTACGGGCTTATTTTTGGACTCTAAATTTGATTTCATTGGCCTGTATATCCATCCTTACGCCAGTACCATAGCACTTTTCTCAGTAGTGTAACTGAAAGTTAATTTTGGCTCATAGTGGGATGTAAGGACAGAGGTTCATTTTTCTTCACAAAGAGCTCCCATTTTTCTCCAGAACTATTTGTTGAAAGACCATCCTTTATCTCTGTTGAAAATCAACTGTCCATGTAAGTGCAGGTCTATTTCTGGACTCTATATGGTTTCATTGATATCTACAGCAGGAGTTGAAAACCTTTTTCTTTCTTAAAAAATCAGATAGTAAATGTTTTTGGCTTTGAGGTTCATACCGTTTCTTGTCAACTACTCAACTTTGCTGTTGCAGCATGAAAATCATAGACAATATGTAGGTGAATGTGTGTGGCTATGTTTCAGTAAAACTTTATTCGCTAGGTAGATGGGTAGAAAGATTTGGCCCACATACCACTGTTTACTAACTCCTGATCTATGCGACCATTCTTACGCCAATACCACTGTCTCGATTACTATAGCTTTATAGAAAGTCTTGATGAGTCCTCCAAAGTTGATCTTTTTCAAAATTATTTCGGTTATTCTAGGTTCTCTGCCCTTCCGTGTAAATTTTAGGGTCAGCTTAATTATTAAAAAAAAACTATCATTTTGATTGGGATTGCACTGAATCTATAAATCAATCTGGGGGAAAATGATAATTTTAACAATATTAAGTCTTCCAATCCATGAATACTGTCTGTCTTTTTTTTTAAAGATTTATTTATTGTAGAGAGAAAGAGAAAGTGGTGGGGAGGGGCAGAAGGAGAGAGGGAGAGAGAATCTCCAGCAGACTCCCTGCTGAGTGAGGAGCCCAATGCAGGGCTCAATCCCACGACCCTGAGATCATGACCTGAACCAAAATCAAGAGTCGGACTCTTAACCAACTGAGCCACCCAGGTGCCCCACAATGTCTGTATTTCTATTTATTTAGATTTTCTTTAATTTTCTCTTGCAATGTTATGTAGTATTCGGTATATAGGGCTTTAATATCCTTTGTTAATTTTGAGATTTTTTTATGCTATTGTAAATGGAATTTAAAAATTTTATTTTCAAAAAAATTTTTTTTATTTTCCAATTGTTCATTACTAGTACATAGAAATGCAACTGATTTTTGTATATGACCTTATAACATGCAACCAAAGTGATGTTATGCTCTTAATAGGTCAGGTGGGATACAATGTCTTGTTTTCCTGTGACTAGTGATACTAACTTTGATCACTTGAGTAAGGTAGTGTATGCCAGTTTTCTCCACTGTAGAATTCCCTTTATAGTATTTTGTGGGGCAATCTTTGAGGCTATATAAATATCCTGTTCCTCATGCAACTTTCACCCACTAGTAGAGGAGGTCATGGGATATTTACATATCTTGATATTTGTTCTCCGAATCAATTATCACTATGATAGTTGCCAAATGGAGAATTTTCTAATTCCAACATTTCTTTTACATTTGTTAGTTGGCATTCTCCTATACGAAAATGACTTTCTTCTCCTCATTTATTTGTTCACTTATTTATTTATATCAGTGTGGATTTGTAGATTCTTATTTTATTCAGTGGGGCATATTTATTGTTACCATTTTTTTATTTTTTATTTTTATTTTTTTTAAAGATCTTATTTATTTATCTGACAGAGAGAGAGCACAACCAGGGGGAGCAGTAGAGGGAGAGGGAGAAGCAGGCTTCCTGCAGAGCAGGGAACCTGATGTGGGGCTCGATCCTAGTACCCTGGGATCATGACCTGAGCCGGAGGCAGATACTCAACTGACTGAGCCAGCCAGGTGCCCCTATTGTTACCATTTTTTTTGTTTTGAAGCTCAAATTATGTTAGAGTTGGCCAATGGAGCTTCTTCCAATTGGTTCCTGTGTCCTTTTCACAAGCCCTCACCATTCCTTACTTTATTGTACAACATGCTTCAGGCTCCTCTTGCACTTTCTCAGGACCAGCTCTAGAATCGGCAATTTTCTCCAAGGAGCCCTAATTCTTACTTAATGAAGAACAATATCTAGAAACCAAGATCTGAGCACTAAGTGTGCTCTGTGCTACCAGTGTGTCAATGTTCCCAGGTCATCTCAGTGGACAGAGATAAGAAATATATATGTATATACAAACACACACACGGACCTACAAACATGTTTATATTTATTTCCATATCTGTCTCTCTATATATCAAAACCATACACTACAAATAGCTTTAATCTCTGTCTGACACTATAGGTTTCAGTTTGGTTTTCTCTGGCTTCCTTCTCCAACAATGAGAAATCTGGCTCCCATTATCCTCAGTATATTTACTTATATGCTTTGCAAGCAACCAATTACTCCATCATGTTGGGCCACCTGCCTCACAAAGCCCCTGACCTTGCCAGTCTACTCTCCTTGCTTGGGCCTGATTAATGGCTTTTTCACTGAATTATTAAGGAAAGACAAAAGAAAGGAAGGAAAAAGGAAGGAAGGAAGGAAGGATATAGCAAACAATAGCATTATTGAACCTTAACAGCCAAGGAGTGAATTGCAAATAGAGGAAAGGACAGAAAGAAAAGAAGTATTTTGTCCAGGCTAGGGCCCCTAATGTAGCAAGGAAATAACCACTACCTTGGCCTATTCCCACATCCCCTGTGAAGCCAGAGATGTCCCTGCTTATAACATTCAAGGGCACAAGGAAATACATAACTCTGTCAGAGGTCAAAGAGGGATACAGATATTGGGGATTTTCCTCTTTTCTCTCCCCGTCTTTAGACAAGAATGCTGTCTCACACTCCTGAATGCCAAGCCGCACTCTTCCTTCAGTTCCTCCTTGGCAGAAAAATAGTTACATGGTTTGATAGGTTTAAAAAAAAGTATATATATTTTTAAGTTATCTTGGCAGATTGCATTTACATCTTCGTGGGGCGCCTGGGTGGCTCAGATCGTTAAGCATCTGCCTTCGGCTCAGGTCATGATCCCAGGGTCCTGGGATGGAGCCCCACGTCTGGCTCCTGGCTCCTGGCTCGGTGGGGAGCCTGCTTCTCCCTCACCCTCTGCCTCTCCCCTGCTCATGCTCTCTCTCTCTCTGTATCTCTCTTTCTCAAATGAATAAATAAAATCTTAAAAAAAAACCCCAAAAACCATCATCATGCTTTTCTATAGATATTTGGCCATAGAATCATTACCTTGAACCTCTGACTCCGACAAAAACTGATGCAGGTTTGTATGGTAAGTTTGTTAGACGTTTTACTGGCGCCAGTTAGAGGAGGTGGGTTTCCATGATCCTTGTAGCAGCCAAGGTTTCCAGGCACTGGAGGAAAAAGAAAAACAAAAGAATTTCACAACATCTGGCTGTGAAACACCAAGAAGGAACAGTGATTTGTGCCAGGTACTTTCATCTCAGGTACTATTTCTACTCCTAAGGTACACATAAATAACAAGCAACAAGCTTTAAAAATGGAAGTCTTAGTATCCTCTGGCAAATGCCGTGTTTCTGTTTTCTTCTGAAGAGTATGTGAGGCCCAAGGTCCACCTTTAACTAATCTGTTCAATATCGATAGAATTGAGCATTGAAGAGAACTAGGAATAATTTCCTTAAAATAGAGAAGCTGCAATATGTAAATTATGTTTCAGAGTCACTGGAGGGCAGGAAAAGCCCTTGGAAGCCCTGCATCCTAGGCCTTGTGCCTCCCCTTGTTTTTTTTGTTTTTTGTTTTTTTTTATTTTAGAGAGAGAGAGAGAGGGAGGGAGGGAGAGAGAGCGTGCGAGTGGAGAGGGAGAGGAAGAAGCAGACTCCCAGCTGTGCACAGAGCCCGACATGGGGCTCGATCCCATGACCCATGAGATCATGACCTGAGCTGAAACTAAGAGTTGGACCCTTAACCAACGGAGCCACCCAGGCACCCCTCCCCTTGTTCTTCAAAAAACTCCATTAAGGGGTTCTCCCAAGTGCTTTCAGGGAGTGTATTAGTTTCCTATAGCTGCTGTAACAAATTACTACAAACCTAGTGGCTTAACACAGCATAAATTCATTATCTTACAGTTTAGGAGTTCAGAAGTACTAAATGGATCATATGGGACTGAAATCAAGGGGTCAGCTGGGACTTGTTCCTTCTGGAGGCCTGGCAGGGGGTGGGGGGGTGTTCCTTGCCTTTTCCATCTACTGGAAGGTGCCCCTGTTCCTCAGCTTGTGACCACACCATTCCAGCCTCTGTCTCCATCACGTCTCCTTCCCTCCCTCTGCTTCTAGCACCACATCACCTTCTCTGACTCTGATCTTCCTGCCTCTGTTATAAGGACCTCTGTGATGACATTGGGCCTGCCTGGATAATTCAGGATAATCAACCCATCTCAAAATCCTTAACTTGATCACATCTGCAAATCCCTTATGCTACGTAAGATAACATATTAAAAGATTCCAGGGATTACAACATAGACATTTTGGGGGGCCATTATTCAGCCTACCACGGTGAACATACTAGAGTTTCACAACCACACAATTGGATGGTTTGGTCTGGTAAAAAAAGCTGTATTTGAGAATAAAGAAACTTGAATATATGTATTAACTGTGGTAGATAGCTTTCAAAGACGGCACTCAATGATCCCCACCTCCTGGTGTTCATGTCATGCCATTGTGGAATCCCCTCCTATTGAGTGTAGGTTGGATTAGTGACTTGCTTTTGACCAACAGAATGTGACAAAGCTGATGGCATGTCACTTCTGTGATTAGGTCAAGAGACTATGACTTCTGTCTTGCTAGTAGACTCTCTACTGCCTTCTTGGCCTATGTACTTTGATAGAACAATACATTATATCAGAGAGGCCATGTGGCAAGGAACTGAAGGTGCCCTTTGACCAATGTCTAGCAAGAAACCAAGACTTTCAGTTTTTGCAAAGACTTAATCCTACCAACAACTAAGTATATTCTTCCCCAGTGGAGCCTTCAGATGAGATCCCAGGCCTGGCAGACACTTATTGCAGGCTTGTAAAAAACCTGGAAGAAGAGGACCCAGCTAAGCCATGTCCAGATTTCCTGACCCATAGAAATGAAGACAGTAAGTGTGTGTCATTTTAAGTAACTAAGTTTCAGGGTTGTTGTACAGTAATGAATAGTTAATACATCTACATAATACATACTAAACACACGTTGAATGAAGGAATGAATTGACTGTAGGCTATGGACAAATCAACCTTTCTGGACCTTAGTTTTCCATCTGTGTTAATAATTTATGAATCACTCCACTATCAGATGAAGCCCTTTCCCCTACCTTCTCTGTTTGGCTTCTCAGTTTATGAAACTGAAGATATAATAAGACATGTAATGAGGCTTGGTCCTAGAAGCACTTCTAGGTCAGTTAAGAGTTATATGTTATCCAATTCCAAAGTGAGCCATACAAACTCTCAGAAAGCATTTTTTCTTTGTGTTTAAGACTAGAAAACAGAGGGGCACCGGGTGGCTCAGTTGGTTAAGCGTCTGCCTTCAACTTGGGTCGTGAACCCAGGGTTCCTTCACCTCCCTGCTCAGTGGGGAATCTGCTTCTCCCTCTCCGTCTGCCTCTCCCCCAGCTTGTGGTCTCTCTCTCTCTCATTTGCACACACTCTCTAATAAATAAATAAAACCTTAAAAAAAAAAAAAAAAAAGACCAGGAAACAGGGGTGCCTGGCTGGCTCATTCAGTGGAACGTGTGACTCTTGATTTCAGGGCTGTGGGTTTGAGCCCCAAGTTGGGTGTAGAGATTACTTAAAAATAAAATCTTAAAAAAGAAGACTAGAAAACAGCATGGTCCCAGTTCAACAAACTTTACATCCACATTAGCTTGTTGGCATATAAAAATATAAGTGTGTATCTGTGTGTAGGTACACACTTTTAAATTTCTGCCACCATCTAATATCTAACCAGTTCCTGTTAAATTGGCAGGAAGTACCACTGCTAACCCAAAAAATCACCCTTCCCCCTCCAGCCAAGTGGTTACTCCTTCTCCCTTGCGTCACACATGGTTCAAATATAACAAATGTGGCTCACCACACAAATGTTAAAATGCATCTTTTGGAAACAAACCAAATCTCTATAGTGGCGAATGTAAACAGAAAAGCTCTAGGCAGTAGGAGGCTGGTGTTCAGTGGGAGCCTGGCTTGGGAATGGCTGCGTTTTAGAGTTTAAACAAATGCAGTGAGTTAAGCATTTCTAGTCAGGGGCATATCCTATAAGCCCAGTTTGTTAAACGGACCTTGCATATGGAAACCCGAGCCATGCATTCAATAGTTCTTAATAAGAACTACTTGATCATCATCATCCTGGTCATTTACTCTGATTTTTGTCTCATTTATTCTATTATGATCAGAAGTAAGCATGTTATTATGTATTAGTCTATTAGACAGCCCAAGGCACATAATCATAAATGTTAAGATTAGACATAAACAAGGCTATGGGTTGCATTAATGCAGCTGGAACTTATAAGCTTTATTCACAATTTGGTGAGCAAATCCAGGCAGCTCATGTTCCAGTGGGGTAGTGAGGTAGACCTCTGGAAGTCAGACTATACCATGCTGCAGATCCATCTATCTGATTTCAGTGGCATGAGGTATCAAGCCTGTCGTGCCCAAGTCAATCACTTGCCAGACACCAGTGAGTCTACCTCCCAAGATACTGCAGACGTTTGTCCATGTCTCTGTCTCCACACTGCCACCTCCCCCGGTTAGGCCACCGTCTCCTCCCACTTAGACTACTGCATTGGCTTCCTATTCCATCTCCCTGTTTCTAGGTGCACCCTACTCTATAATCTAGTTAGTACACTGCAACCAGAATAATCTTTACTGTGTATTCCAGGCAGAAGGAAGGGCAAGAGCAAAGGCCTAAGGCAAAAACAATGTTGGCCTTTGCAGGAACAAAAAGAAGTGAGGATGACCAATGACAGAGAGAGGGAAAAGTAACAGGAGCTGGAGGGGTAGGCAGGGGCCCTGCCTAAAAACCTTCGAAGTCCCTCAGGATGAAGTCCAGACTCTCTCATATGGTACACAAGGCCCTGCCTGATCTGTGCTGCTTGCTCCCCTCCCCCTTCAGCATGACCCCTCTCTCTATCCCTCAGCTCACGTTCTAGATGAAAGCCAAATTAAATTATAGTGTATTTGCGAGTCTCCCCATGGCACGTTGCTCTCTGGACTTTTACACATACTCTTTCCTTTGCCTGGAATTCCCTCTCCTGCTTAACACTGTAGCCTGAGCACTATTTCCCTGGGGAAGCATCCCCCCCCCGCCCCAATAAGGTTATATGCCCCTGCTGTGTGGTCCTGTAGCAGCCTACGGTGCACTTGATTCTAAACACCTGGGGTTTCCTGGGTGGCTCAGTTGGTGGGCGTCTGCCTTCGGCTTAGGTCATGATCCCAGTGTCCTGGGATTGAGCTCCGCATCGGGCTCCCTACTTAGCAGGAAAGCCTGCTTCTCCCTCTCCCACTCTCCCTGCTTGTGTTCCCTCTCTCGCTGTCTCTCTCTCTGTGTCAAATAAATAAATAAAATCTTTAAAAAAATAAATAAACACCTGTTCCTATGTCTCTCTCCCCAACGAACCATGAATGACTTAAGGGTAGGACTGTATCTTCCACACACCGTTGCATTCCCAGGGCCTGGTAAGGTCCCAGTTACAGAGCTCGTGCTCTAAAACTGCACGACAGATGTACAGGCATGTTCTGCACCACCAGCAGGAATCATGGAGGGAGTGGGTAAAGGTACTTCTTAGGCGGCAGTGGAGGAACAGAGCAGGGTGGAAGTAAAAGGCAGAGCTGACCTCCGTAACAACACCCACTTAAAGCTAGTGACCACTGGTTCTGACTCCTGCCTGCACACTATCCTCTCTGGCTATTAGAGACACCATTCAAGGTAACTGAGTTTTCCAGAGAGGTTAACTTGGAAACTTAAAGTTTTATCCTCATCATTTTGGACAGAACCTTTCTAAAATGCATTAGCTATTTCTTTAAAAAAAAAACAAAAACAAAAAAACTTAACTCAGTTTAACCTACTTTATTTTTTAATTTTTTAAAAAAAGATTTTATTTATTAGAGAGAGAGCACAAGTGGGCGGAGGGGCAGAGGGAGAGGGGGAAGCAGGCTTCCCACTGAGCAGGGAGCCCAATGTAGGACTTGATCCCAGGACCGTGGGATCATGACCTGAGCCGAAGGCAGACGCTTAACCGACTGAGCCACCCAGGCGTCCCTCAGTTTCACCTACTTTAAATTTCTCTTGGTGGCGTGAGGTGATCCAATGTGCTTCACCAAATGGCCCCAGCCTGGTGTGCTTTTTTACGTGCTTGTGTCTGA